GACAGCGGCTGTGCCACCCACAGCCCTTGGCGGTCAAAAGGAGCGATGGCTGTTCATGCAAGGAGAAAAGGAACAGAGGCAACCATGCTCCCAAAACCCCCTCGCAGAGCCAGGATGAAGGAGTGAGAGTCGCTGCAAAGGCAAAGATGGAGCGATGCAGCAGCTGGCGAGATAAGGGCCAGGCAGCCTAAAGCCACCCTATGCTGTAGCTTTCCCAGGAGGCAGAGGCTGGGGCCCCGGGGCCAGCCAGAAGGACACCTGCACCCAGCACCCACCCAGGGTGGGGGAGCGGATTGGGACAGGTGCGTCAGAGATCTGTCCCCCTCCTTCTGCTGGCCCCGGCATATTGCAAATATCTCCCCTGAGCCAGCCATTGGCGGCTTATAAATAATGCAGCCCCTCGCCGCGCAATAAGGGCTTGTCAGTAGCTATTCTGCTCTCATAAATTAAAGATGAAAAGGTACAAGGCTCTTGCCAGAAAAATGAAGACAAATTTTTAATAGCTTGCCAAGACACAGAGAGATGGAGCGCTCGGGAAAAATGAATTACGTTTTTATTATGTGTTTTATTGTGGTGTAATTGAACGGGATTAGCTGAGAATACAATATATTTCCAGGGCAGTGCAAAGAAAACAAAAATAATGATGACACCTGCCCCCCTCCCCTCCCAGACTGCACAGGGACACTCTCCGTGCGTGCACCGGCTGGGAGCTGGCTTTGAGCTGCTGGTGGCTGAGAGGCAGAGATGGGGATGGGAGGGACACTGGAGGGGACAGGGGACTGGAAACACAGGGGCTTGGAGTGTCTGGGTCTGTCTGGATGGCCAGGCAGGGTCTAGGCTCACCCCAAGAGCCCCCAGAGCTGTGGGGCTGGGGTACAGGGCAGGGTGGCATGACAGCAGTCAGCTGCACAGAGCCACTAGGTATCTTTTGCCTGTCCCCATGTCCCCAGCTGCTTTCATTCCTTCCCTGAGATCCCCTTTGGTATGTCCCTCATCTGCAGAAACTGGCACTGCTAGGCTGAGACCTGACAAACTCAGCTCTGCTGTGGACCAGGTCTAGAGTGCTGCCCTGCAAACCAGCCACGCTGGATCTGGCAGCACTGCTGTGAGCCCATGGACTCAGTCACTTTTTTGGGCTAGGGGCACCTGTCCCCATGGGTCCCCTGGTTGGGGGGGAAAGAAACATGAACCCCTGGTTGGTGAGTTTTGCGGGGCTGACAAGCCCAAAGGCAACACTGCTGCCTCTGCAGAGGAGCCCAGGATGGAGCAGTGGATGCAGGGGGACAAGGATGCTTGGTCCCTTCCTAAGGTGGCCCATCCCAGAGGTCATGGGCCAGGCCCTGAAAGGCCGCAGCTGGGTGTCCCCAGGGATGCTGGGTGGCGCTGGGCTGACGACATTGATTGGTCCCTGGCATTTTTAATGAGCTGCCCGACCGCAAGCTTTAACCTTGCCCATAATGAGGGCGAGTGGCAGGCCTTCCTACTGCCACAGCCGGCTCCCCCAGCCTTAATGAGCTAATCAATACTTGTTCTCAGCTTAATTTCCAGCTAATTGCTCTTTAATGACGCCTGGAAATGGGCAGCCTCTTGCGAGGGGGGTGGGCAGGCTCCCCCTCCCCAGTGCCCATCCCCGATGGCAGGGGGTGCTGGGGCACTAGTGCTGGGTCACCTTTCCTGGCTGTGTCCCAGCTCTGCCGGAACCTGGGGAAAGGGAGGGTGGCAAAGAAGACAGCGGGCGCAGGGCACGGTGCCACTGAGCTGGCAGCACCCTCTGAAGTATCCACCTGGCTGGGGGGCTCTGCAGCCCCACACACTCAGGGCAGGCTGAGAAGAGGGGTCCCCACATACCAGGAGGGTCCCCAAGCACCTCAGGACACTACGTTGCGGTGAGGGTCCCCAGGGTGGGATCGTGGGAGGAGGATTGTTTTGAGGTGGAGGAGGATGAAGGGGGCTGAGGTGGCCGTGCATTGCTCCAGCATCTACAGATTCCAAGTACAGGTCCAGTGTCACGGCGAGGAGGCGGGGACGAGGCCAGCAGTTGCCTGGAGGTGGCAGCAGAGACCCCGCAGCCTCCTGCCTGCACCGCCTGCCTGCACCTCTCTGCTGGGTCACCCCTCAGGGACGTTTAGGGGATGCTCCTGTTTAGTGAGGGGAGCCTGGCATGTCGCAAGGAGGTGGGAACCGCGCTAAGCCGGCTCCAAGGTGTCAAAGTTGGCATGGCCGTGTCAGCCAGGGATGCCCCCGCTCTGCCCGCTGCCCGCTTGGTTCCTGGCGCTGGGTTGTACGACCGGCTCTTGGATGGGGCTGATGGAAAAAACGCAGTGAAAGCCGAGGGATTCCTGCGGGGAAGGAGCCGAGCCTCATCCAGCCCTGCCGAATCGCAGCCGGGAACACCGCGGCAGCCAGGGGACCGGAGCATCCCTCACCACCCGGCCACTGCTCCTCGCGGGCCGGCCTCAGAGCAGCCCCCCACCTCGTCCCTCCTACTCACAGCTGCAACCGTTTGCCCAAGAATTTTCTGTCGGTTTTGTTCTTGGAAGGAATTTGCTCTGAAAAAGCCTGGAGAAACCTGATTCTGGCTGCTCGGCCAGCGGGTCCTGCCTGGCACACAGGGCTGGAGGGACCTGCCTGCTGCTTGTCCCTTGTACCTGCAGTGGACCCCGGGATGCAGCTGGGACCCCAAGAGCCACATGGCCTCGGGGTGGTGGGCTGGCCTGATCCCTGCTGTGTCAGGCTGCTGCAAACAGCAAGAAATAGAGAACCAGCACCAGGTTTGAGATGAAACAAGGGAGATTTGGTTTATTATCAGATTGAGACCCCTGTGGCCCTGGGCAGTGTGCTGACAGCACCCCTTGCCCCAGCATCTCCCAGTGGCGTTTGCTTCTACCCATATTCCCATCCCTGCCAGCCCTGACACCGCTCACCAGCCTTCTCTGACATGACGGGCATTGGGTCACTTGGCCCAGGGATTTTTTTCCAGGGTGAGTTTTTCCCTTGGCCTCAACCACTGGAAGCTCTAAATACCCATGGGGTGGTCTGGGAGATCAGCCTAGGGCTCAGGGTGTGTGTCAGTGGGGCACCTTGGACCAGCCATGATGGCTCTGCCATCAGGGACACATCCAGAGCTCTGGAGGGATGCTATGGCTGTGAGTCTGCTGGGAACATTCACAGACTCCTGGCTCCAATGGGACCATCACAGGGGAAGGAAAATGATGATGGGGAGCAACCTGCCAGGGAAGGAGGAGGGGACTTTGCTGCTTGAGGCTCACTGCACCTTCAAAGTGCAATTTCAGGAGCTTTACAGAGCTCAGGGCAAGTGAGGAAAAAGGAGGGATAACTGGCCAGCATGGTCAGGGAGCTGGGAATGTGATTTACCTCAGTGACAGGCCACACAGGGCCTTTCCTCCTCAAATCTGCTCCCAGCAACTGGAGCCGCAAGCCTAGGGTGCAGCTGGGGGGGCCATGCTGATTGAATCAAGGTGTGATTGAGCACAGCTCCTTGTTAAGCACAGGTTAGATCTTCCATCCCTCATTCATAGCTGCTACTATTTATTAGCACATTCAATAGCCTCATTAAGCAGG